TAAAAATGCTAACCATCATCAGAGCTTCCAGTGAGTCATAATTACTGAACACAGCTCACCATCACAAATATAATGGTCATGAAAAAGTTTGAAGTATTGCTAGACTTAATTACCAAAATGTGATACAGAGACACAAAGTGAACAAATGCTGTTGGAAAAATAGGACCGGGGTAGACTTGCTTGACACAGGGTTTTGTAAAAAAAAAAAAAAAGCAGCATCTGCAAAGCAGAATAAAGCAAAGCACAACAAAATGAGGTACGCCAGGCTCTGTGAAAAATGCTTTACAGAAATTAACTTATTTATTTATTTGTTTGAGAGAGAGAGAGTACAAGCTGGGGGAACGGCAGGCAGACGGGGGAGCAGGCTTCCCACTGAGCAGGGAGCCCGATGCAGGACTCGATCCCAGGACCCTGGGATCATGACCTGAGCTGAAGGCAGCCACTTAACTGACTGAGCCACCCAGGCGCCCAGAAATTAACTTATTTAATTAACTCATGAGAAAACAGAAACACAGGAAGATAAATGACTTGCCCAAGGTCACCCAGCCAGTGAGTGGCAGATCTGGGATTCAAACTCTGGCCTCCTGGCCTCAGAGTCTCCATCACTTCTGCTTCAAATTGTGGGTTAACAAAGTACTGACTGGGTGTTCCAAGGGAATGCTGAATTTCTTAGCCTCTGACTCCTGAGAGCAGAGCTAGGAAAATCATCATGAAATAAATTGCCCTCAGAGATCCCATTTAGCCTTGACACTCTAGGATCAACCCCAAGTAGCATTTCAGATTTTTTGTTGAGGAAAGAAGAGGAAGGAGGTTTGGTTAAGGTATGCGTAACCCTGATCAATCACTTACTCCATGTAAGGTGCTAGAAGGTCCTGGGGTGAGGAGGTTAGGAGGAGGGCTTCTCTTCCAACTGTGGACTAAAGCACCTGCATTTCTCACTCCCTAGGCTAGTTACTCTCAGAATAATGGTGGCTGATTTGAGGCTGGAGCCAGAGTCCAGGTGGGAAGTTGGGGTGGCCCAGGGGCATGCATTAGCCTTGGGGCTCCTCTTGATCTCCACCGGGGTAGAGTCGCTCTGTTAGTTCAATTGCCCCATAAAACCTCACTGTGATATGGAGGCATTTTGAGTTCATTTACCCCTCTTGGAAGGTCTTCAATGAGTGTCTGAACAAACAGGTGGACCCCAGCTGAAGAGGGAAAGGGGCAGGGCATGGGTGGGAGGAGGGATGGAGGGTCAGATGCGCTCATAAACTCCAGTGAAGGGAAAAGGAGCGCCGCTGAGTCAGGCGTCCCACTGCCAATGTCGTCCTGTCCCACACCCCCACCACACCTGTCCTGCCTTTGATGCTGACCTTGGATGAGTAGCTATTGAGGAGAAAACAGTTCTGACAACGCAGAAGGAAGTCAATGGGAAAGGAAGTTAAGTGGGGCCCCAGAGAGGCTGTCTGGTCCATCCTGCGGGCTCTTTTCCACGTCCCCTGGCCTGGAGCTTCTCAGGGTAACTGCAGCACAACCACTGGGAGCATAGCAAATGCAGATTCCAGGGCCCCACACCCAAGCCAGAACTTCTGGGGGTCAGAGCCCAGGAATTTCTATTTTTCACAGCCTTCCTTTCTTGCAACCTCAGCAGTGTATGTTGAAGACCATGCTGTAAAGAACACAACCTCAGGGCGCCTGGGTGGCTCAGTCGGTTAAGCGTCAGACTCTTGATTTCGGCTCAGGTCATGGTCTTGGGGTCCTGGGATTAAACCCCTGCCCCATGCTCAGTGGGGAGTCTGCTTCTCTCCTTCTCCCCCTCTCTCTGCCCTTCCCCCCACCTCAAATCAATCACTCAATCTTTAAAAACAAAATGTTTCAGATCCCATAACTTTGTGATTCCATCCTGGGGTTTTAGTTCAAGGAAATGCTTTCTAAAAAATCATATAAAGAAACTCACTGTGGTCTCACATTTAATGGGGTAAGCTGGGCCCCACCAAAGGTCCAACAGTAAACATTATACATCCATTTCTAATAATAAACATGGCAGCTTTATGGAAACATGGGACTGTGTTTTCAAACTAATGCTGAGCAAAGAGAGTGGAGTATTGCATTTACATAGTGATTATAGCTCTTATTTATCTGCCATAATTAGGGTCAGTGAGAAAGAAAACAAGAATGAGAGAGGAGACAGAAGAGCGAAAGAGGGAGGAAGAAAGTAGAAAAAAAAATAACACTTACTGAGTTAGGGTGATGGGTTATGGAGGATTTTTGGAAATGTCTTTAAACGCTATTGACAGTTGTTGTGGTACTAAGTAGGAACTCCACACAGGGGCTCTGTGGCTTTGGGCAAGTTACTTCTCTGAAGCCCTGGTTCCTCCTTGGCAAAATGGGGAAAATGACTCTTACTTCATAGAATCTTTTTGAAGAATAAATGAGATAATCTGTGTAACACACTTAGCAACCTGCCCAGTGCATAATAAACACCTGATAAATGTTAGCTTAATTATAGCTGTTGTTCTGCCGTCATTAGCATCAAAGAGGGGAATCCTCACGTGCTCTAGGTAGGAGCGGACAGCGCTGGAGACCCTCGGACAGGCAGCAGAGTAACAGATATAAACATAAATACAAAACCTCTTTGTTCCAGGGATTTCATGTCTAGAAATTCATCCTTAGTCAATAATCTGACATGTGTACTGAGGTGTAAAAGAGAAGGTTTATCTCAGCTTTCCAACCAGGGCCCGGCAGAATGGCTCCCGCGAAGAAGCGTGGCCGGAAGGGCCGTTCCACCACCAACGAGGTAGTGACCAGAGAACATACCATCACCATTCACAAGCACATCCTAGAGTGAGTTTCAGGAAGTGTGCCCCTAGGGCACTCAAAGAGATCTGGAAATTTGCCATGAAAGAGATGGGAGCTCCAGATGTGTGCATTCACACCAGGTTCAACAAGACTGTCTGGGCCAAAGGAATAAGGAATGTTCCATTCCGTCTCCGTGTGAGGTTGTCCAGAAAACACCGCGAGGATGAAGAATCACCAAACAAGCTCTATATGGTGGTTACCTAAGTACCTGTCACCACTTTTGAAAATCTATGGACAGTTAATGTAGATAAGAACTAATTGCTGATTGTCAAATAAAGGTCTAAGACTGCAAAAAAAATGTTTATCTCAGAGTTATTTGTCATAGAAAGAGTTTAGAAAAATAACCTGAAGATCAAGTTACACTGTTACATAACATGTACATAATGTTTACATAACAATAGTTATGTAAATTACGGCATACAGACAATAGACTATGAACGTTCTGGAGCTATTAAAAGGGGTATGATTTACCTTTATGTCATGATACAGACATGTACCCATATCATTATATAAAAACGAGGTTACAGGGGTGCCTGGGAGGCTCAGTCGGTTAAGCATCTGCTTAATCATCAGGTTATAATCCTGGGGTCCTGGGATCGAGCCCCACACTGGGTTCCTTGCTCAGCGGGGAGTCTGCTTCTCCCTCTCCCTCTGCTTGCGGCTCCCTCTGACTGTGCTCTCTCTCAAAATAAATAAATAAAATTAAAAAAAACCCCTCAGTTACAGAACAATATAGTCTCATTTATAGAAGAAGTATATGTATATGCTTTAAGTTTAGAAGGATAGACACAAACTATTAAGGGCCATCTCTGACAAGTGACAGGACTGTTACTTGCTCTGAGTTATGAAATGTTAATATATATAACTTATCAGAAAACCCGTGATAATGATAATGATGATGAGGATGTGGGTGTGGGTATGTGTGTGTGTTTATGGTTTTTTAAAAAAAATAAGACCCCTGGCAGGAGTAAGGAATTCCAAGACTGGAGACTGAACACTGGCAAAATGGGGCAAAGTGGGTTTCACTTGCTCAGAAATCACTCAGTCCCAGATCTGTGGTGAGTTCTGCTTTAGATAGAAATGATGAGGATTCAAAAAGAAAGAAAGAAATGATCGGGATTCACGAAGAGCTGATGCTGGAAAAGGAGACTGACTTGCAGAAATTTCCATAATTAATAATAAGAAAAAGGAGAGTCCTCAGTCTGAACCGGGGAGCAATCCCACAAGACAGGAGGGACAGGACCTGGATGTCTGGGGTCTGAACGCCCCCCCTCCCGGTTGTGAGCTTCGAACAACACACACTCCACCGAGCTCCTGGCCTGCGCCCGGCACGTGGTGGGTCTTCAGTGCCCCTGGCAGTCCTGCTCCAAGCTGCCCCCTGGGCCCCCGGACTGCTGCTTCACTTGCTGGCATTATCCACACCCTGCTTCCGTCTCTTCTCCTTCAAGTGCTCTTTGCTGCAGTCAAACTCATTTTTCCTTCCATCATGACCCTTCCCACCTTCGTCACACTGTTCCCTCAACCTAGAGTATTGTCTCCCTATATTCCCCGCCTTCTCCAACCTCTGTTTCTCTAAACATCCAAGTCCTATGGTTCCTTCCAAACCAGCATCAAATGCCATCTCCTATGCAAAGATATCCCGGCCCCCAGCTGCCCCCTGCTCCTTCCCTGTGCCCCAGGCCACGCATCTGCATTTGTCTAGGAACTTGTCACATCCTGCCTGCACAAGGGTTCTCTGCAGGCCTGTGTTTTGTCTCCGGACTAGACTGGAAGCTCTTTGGGGGGAGGGTGTATGTCTCATTCATCCGTGTGGCCTCGGTGCCAGCCCCGCATGCAGCAGGTGCTTGATGCGTTTTGGTCGACGAATGGGGGGGTGAACAAGTAAATAAGGGGTGAGGCGAGCATGGCTGGAGGACAGGGCAAGGACGAAGGGAGGGAGGGAGGGCAGAGGCGGCTGAGACCTCGGACGCTCTGGGATTGCCATCGCCCTTGCTGGGAGTGGCAAAGGGCCTGCAGCCAGCACTCCCCCGGGTGAATAACCTCAGGGCTCTGCTCCGCTGGGTCCTGCCCCCGTCATAAAACAGGCAACGCTTCCTCTTCAGGGCTGGAGGGGGAGGTGGAGTGACTTAGGGGCCGAGCCCCAGCGTGTGGCAGAATTTATAAGCTGGGGCACCGGGCCCCTCAGCACCACAACCCTTCTTCCTCATCCCCCTGCCCTCCGGCCTCCGGCTCTCCCAGCAGCATGGCCTTCAATGGCAAGTACGAGTTCGAGAGTGACAAGAATTACAACGAGTTCATGAAGAGCCTCGGTGAGTGAGTGCACGAGGTCCCCTTCCCTGGGCTAGTTTGTCACAGCCAGCTTGGGGCCACCAACCCAAACTCCTTGAGGCCCAGAGAAGCTGAGTTACTAGTCCAAAGTCACACAGCCAGTAGTTGGTGAGGTGCAGGCTTGATTGGCTTATTCATTCATTCAAGACCCTGCTATAGGTAAGGGCCAGCCCGACGTTCCTGATGGGGTGCCTCAGCATGATGTGCCCAAGGTCACACTGTAAATTAGGGGCAGAGATCATTAGCACCCAGGACCCAGTGATGAGATGATGAGTGGTGCCTGGGGAGAGATGACCAAGGGGTTACTATAGAGGCCAGGTTTGACAAGCCATGCACTCATTTGGCCATTCAACACTATAGAGGCCAGGTTTGACAAGCCATGCACTCATTTGGCCATTCAACAAACGTGGGCCTCTTACTGCGCTAGGAACAGTGGGCCGAGATCAGTGATGCCGCTCCTCTTCACTGCTCCATTTGCAGTGCTGATTGTGAGGAACCCATGGCACAGTGGCCCCGACAGTCCTGCAGAAATCTTGGGGCACGCTCTAAGTCGGAGGGAGTGCCATTGTCAAGAGTCAGAGGACGGCCCCGGGGGATCTGAGAGGCCCTGAGAGCAGGGGCCTTGGGGAGACAAGAGCCCTTCTGAGTCCATTATTGGGAGTGGCCCTGAAGGGACGGTGACTTGGCTTCACCTCCAACAGTCTCGCGTGGAATTGGAAGGGTGCCAGTGTCCGCGGGAGATCTGGTTCAGCTGTTAGCCTCCACGGAGATGCTGGGAGGCCCCTTTCCTGCTCTGGGTCTTGCCTGCCTCATCTGTGAAACAGCAGTGTTCGAAGGCAGTCTCGCTGGTCCCATTCATCCTGGGGCTTGGTGAGCTTGGCCGCGTCTGTCGTGTTTGTGTTTTGGTGCTATCAGAATCAGAAGAGCAGCTAGTACTTAACGTCAGTTACATGCCAGGAGTTTTATAAGACACAATCACTTTAACTTCCTCCTCACAACGGCCTTGTGAAATGGGCCTTATTACCCCCATTTTGTGGATGGGAACACCGAGGCTCAGAGAGGTAGTGACGCATCCCAGCTCATGGTTCATGGTAGAACTGGGATTTGTGCTCCTAACCATCGGGCTAGCCAGCCACCAGGGAGGAAAGCCTTCTCCCAGAGCCACAGGTTGTAAGCAGCTCTTACATGCCGCTCTACTCGTCCCTGGGCCAGGGCTCCCCAGCGATGCTATCGAAAAGGGCCGAAACTTCAAGACTGTCACGGAGGTGCAGCAGGACGGGCAGAACTTCACCTGGTCCCAGCACTACCCGGACGGCCGCTCCATGACCAACAAGTTCACCATCGGCAAGGAGTGTGACATGGAGACCATGGGGGGCAAGAAGTTCAAGGTGAGAGGCCACTGGCCGCCCCGCCCTCCTTCCCCAAGCCTCTGGCTAACTTCTTGGTCTCAAGCGTGTCCCCTGGGGCTGCACCCCAAGCTGAGGCTCAGTTCTAGAATCCAGCCTCCAGCCTTAGGCGCTTGAGTTACTCAGCAAGTTAATCACTCCGGGTTCTTAATGCTACAGTCAATAACAGACACTGTAACGAAACTGTTAAAAATTGTTAACACTTGCACTTAATATATCCCAGACACCTGCTGAATACTTCGCACACGTTACTGCAGTGAATCCTACGAAGTCGCAACAGTTACTGTCCCATTTTACAGATGAGGGAGTTAGGCTGAGCCATGGGGTTCGGCGGCTTGCCAGGTCACCCAACACAGGCGGACCTCCACACCCAGGCAGCCTGGCTTCAGAGAGCATAACCATTTGCTGGGGCTGCCTTCCAGTGCAGCCTAGAGAAGCACAGCCCTAGAATCGGACTCGCATGGGTTCGAAACTGCAATCTTACATAAGAAAGAAGTAAAAGGTGACTGTCCTCTCCTACCCAGCCTGGTCCCGCAGATCTTCCACCAACTCTGGGTCCCCTCTATCGCCCCCAGGCAGGACCATGACTACTCTGCTCCTTAGGCTGCCACAGTAGAGAATAAGTGGTCCTGATGTTCATCTTCTGTCACTCGTGGATTTTAACAATTTAAGAGTTTCTCAGGATCTCGTTCTGTGTCAGCACAGATCGATTTGTCTTATTGTTTTTATTGCTTGCACAGCATCTTTTAGTATGGAAATGCTATCATTCCCTTCACACTCCCTGGTCGATAGATATTGAAGTTACTTACCGGTGGAGAGTCCGGATGGCTATTTAGGTTGTTTACAGTTACAAACAATGCTGCAGTCCACATTCTGCATGACATCATCATCATCCTAACAATGAGGATCATAACCAAATCCACAGTTAACAAGGAGCACTCATCCTGGGCCGGGCACTGTTCTAAGCACTTTCCATATGTCCTAAGAAATCCTTCAATCCTCATAAGAACTCTCAAGGAGGTACAGTTACGACCCTCATTTTAGAGGTGAGAAAGCTGAGGCACAGCAAGGTTGAGTGACTTGTGCGTGTTGTCTGTACCTGTGGATCTATGTCATCCTGTATCTCCAAGGCCAGTTAAATCCCAGAGGGGACTGCTGCGGGGGCTGCGGGGTAGCCCTTCCTCCCTCGGGGGCTGGCTTGCGTTTGGGGGCCTCTGCCGGCTCAGGTTCAGTGTTATGCTTTGCTTCCAGGCCACTGTGCACATGGAGGGTGGGAAGATTGCGGTGGAGTTCCCCAACTATCGCCAGACCTCGGAGATCGTGGGCGACAAGCTGGTGGAGGTGAGTGTCCTGCTGGTTCCTGGGACAATGATGAGGACACTTTCCTGCCTCCAGCCCTGGCTCTCGGGGCACTTCCCATGTGCCAGGCTCTGTGCTGAGTGCCTGGGGGACATCGTCTCGTTCGACCTTCACGATCACCTGCTAGACAGGGCTTTTTCTCTGCATCTTCCAGGTGAGGACGCTGAGGTGCTGGGAGCTGAGTGGTTAGCTGGAGGGCCCCTAGCTTCTCTGAGAGTGCTGGGAACTGGCGCTCGGCAGGGACTCTGCCGCCTCAGGGGCCCAAGCGTGGAAGCCCCTGGGACCCTCCCCAGAGTTTAAATGAAGGGGGGAGTCCGGGTGGGCCCTGCAAGGGCAGCCACCATGCTGTTCCACCTCCCCAAGGGACTTCAGGCCCTTCCTGCTAGATCTTCTGATTTTTCAAGAGAAGCTGGAACTTTGCACTTCTCTGTGAAACCTCCAGACTACTAAATGCTGGCAGTGAATTAAACCTTTTAAAAAATGCTGGCAGGGCTAACACACACATCTGCGGCTGGACCCTTCCCACACTTGGCGCTCTATAACCACAGATTGGAGGTGCTGCTCTCACTTCACCTCCCTTCTGTTTCTTCCCCTGGGGCTCCAGAATTTTCCCCAGGTACAAGAAATGGATGTGAAGTTAAAAGCAAAAAGTAGGCTCTTCCACACTTCATTCGCCCCTTGTGAGCCCATGTCCTGGGCCAGAGCTCCCTGGGGTCCAGTCTACCCTCCCCAAGGTTCTCCAGAAGGGAAGTGATGAGGGAGGTAGGGTTTGCCACCTCCTTGCTCCCCTCTTCTCCTCTCTCTCTCTCCCCCTCTTGTTTCCTTGTTTTCCTCATCCCAAACCCAGTCTAGAGGCCCAAGAGACTCAGTGACCTCCCATTATTCCCATTTTACAGAGAGGTCATTGAGGCTCAGAGAGAACAAGTCACTTGTCCAAAGCCCCACAGCTAGTTCGTGGTGGAGGCAGGTCCCACTGGCTGACTTCTAGACTAGGCTCTCTGCCAGCTCTGCCCAGGCCAGTGGGTCTTTAATTAAAAACAACAACAACAACAACAAACACACACACACACACACAAAACTAAAAATAAAGAGATGCACAGTATTTAAAAAATATATACATAAAAGAACAAAATTGACTATCCATTTTTTCCTGGATAGAAATTGACCTCTTAGAAAATCTGATAAAAGCTCTGGACACATTTTTACATTAAATGTCAGCCAGTGGGTTCTGACTCCCAGAAGCAAAGCTCACGGCCTGTGAGGTGTGTGGGGAGCACCCAGGGTGGGGGAACCAGAAGCAGGTTTGTGCCCAACCGGAGGATCAATCTTCCCAAACTGAATAATCCTGTTTCCTGATGCCTAGAGGCTCCTGACCAGGGTTGTCAGAACCATCCTGGACACCTGTGTCCTTTTCCACCAACAGGGAGTGCATTAGGTGGGCATGCCTCCTCCCTCTCCAGGCCAACACCAGCACCCCTCGCCATGCTCTCATCATCACCTAGACCAAGGCCTAGCCTCCTCCCTGCTCGCAGCTCTCCCTCTACTCCATCTTGCTCCAGGTGCAAATCACACATCACTTCACACTGACGCCCTTGACAGAACTGCTCACAAAGATGACATTTGCCACCCACCCACTTCCTGTGAGAAGGCTGCCTCCTCTGCTGGCTATCAGGACAAACTCACGATACTCGCACGCCCCCTGACAGTGGGTCTCGAGGGCCTCGAGCCCAGGACATAGGACAGCACCTTCACTGAACAGCACCCCCTGCCTGCCTTCCCCCCGGGGCAGGGACTCTATCACCAAGCACAGGTGTCCCATAAATGCTGTGTGGTGCAGAGGCTGAGTGTGGCCTCTAGATCTTAAAGGGGTTACTTGACTCCTCTAGACTTCAGTGTTCTCATCTGTACAATGGGTACAACCCTACTGTGTCGCTGGGAGAATTAAATGGGATAACACAAGGGAAGTGCCTGGAGTAGGTGAATTTCAGTGGACAGATGGAAGGTTACAATACGAAGAGCCACGTCAGCCTTGACATCTGTTTAGCCCTTTTGCCATACTGAGTCTACACAGGGGCTTGCATAACAAATTGGGAAACTGAGGCTCAGAGAACGGGTGCAACCTGTTCACTTCCGCTCACGGCTGGGACTGGAGGCCTGTCTTCCCCCAGCTGTGCTCCATCTCACTTAGGGGTCCCTGCACTGACTCCCTCTGTTCTGGCTGCTTCTTTCAGATCTCCACCATCGGAGGCGTGACCTATGAGCGTGTGAGCAAGAGGCTGGCCTGAGCAACCAGGCACGGTTCTTGTGGGGGGTGGGGGCACAGAGCCACCAGGAAAGCTGGGATAAGAACAGACATTCTGGGGCACCTGGGTGGCTCAGTTGTTAAGCGTCTGCCTTCGGCTCAGATCATGATCCCAGGGTCCTGGGATCGAGTCCCACATCGGGCTCCCTCCTTGGGGGGAAGCCTGCTTCTCCCTCTCCCACCCCCGCTGCTTGTGTTCCTGCTCTCGCTATCTCTGTCTCTGTCAAATAAATAAATAAAATCTTAAAAAAAAAAAAAAAAGAACAGACATTCTGTTTGTCCAAACCTCTTTGTCTTTGTTTTTGTTTTCTGGTGTTTTGGGCAGTTTCTAGCTGGGTAGGGGTGGGAAAGGCCCAAGGATGGCTACACAGGCCAAACCTTGGCCCTGAGACCCCTGTGGGCTCTGCAACATGGCAGAGGGAGGCTTGAATGTGGACTGCAATACTCCCGGCCCCCTGGTGTTCGAGAAGCACGGTGGCCACATTTCCGTGCACCCTTGCCCCACCTTGCCACCCACCTCTCTGTGGGTAGAGACACAGGGCTCCTTTAACACACCGACTCTCATGTGGGCCACAGGACAGGTGTATCAGATGGTGGGTAGGAGGAGTGGCACTTCCAGGAGAGGGCCCTGTGGCTGGGCTCCAAGGCTGGCAGATGAAGGAGGAAGACAGGACTTGGCCAGAAAGGTGTTTTGGCATGGCCGTGGCTCTGCTGTTAATTGGCTGTGGAAGCATCCTTCTGGGCCTCAGTTTAACCACTGGTACAACAGGGGGCCAGGAGGACCAATGAGGGACTGAGGAGAAATTAGAGAGTATTATATGGCAAAGGGGCCATGGGAGTGACAAGAGGGACAAGAAGGGCCTGGGACGTCCTCATTTGGACAGCGATGCCTGGGAGAAACTGGGAGGGGCTTTGGCTGGCTGGGGAAGGTGGTCGGGAGGGTCATTCTGACCTCCTAATGGGTGCCAGGAGCCAAGTCCAGGATCCTGAGGCAGCCTTTGGGTAATCCCTGCCTGATTATTTGTCTCTCCAGGGCATGGGAGTGGGCGGGGGTGGGGGGT